ACTCTGACAACTTCTATTCAACATTATACTGTAGGTTTTAGTCAATGCAANAAAAAAAAAAAAAAAAAGCACCTATAGTGTAAAGGAAGAAGTGAAACTATCATGCTTCACAGATGACACGATTGTCTGTGTAGGAAAGCTTACGGGATCTACAAAATTACCAGAAGTAGTAAGTGAGTTTAGCAAGGTTATTGTATACAAGATCAACACGTAGAAGTCAATTATATTTCTATATACTTGCAAAGAAGTATTGGAAATTGAAATTTAAAAATAACTAGTACCACTCAAAATAGCATAGATATGAACTATTTAGAGATGAATTTGACAAAATATGTGTAGGACTTGTACACTTGAAAAAGCACTTCTAAGAAAAATTAAAGACCTAAGTAAATAGAACAATATATCCTGTTTATGGATATGAAAACTCAATATCATTAAGATGTCAATTCTCTTCACATAGATCTATTAATTCAATTAAAACTCAAAATCCCAGCAGGCTTTTAGTAGTAACTGACAAGTTGATTCTAAAATTTATACGGAAATTCAAAGAAAAACTAGAATAGCCAAAACATCTGAGAAAAAGAGGAATAAAGTTAGAGGATTTACATTATCTTACTTCAAGACTTATGAAGCTACAGCAAAGAGTAATGCTACAGTAGTACAGAAGCTACAGTAATGGTGTAGTACTGGCAGTAGTGGTACTGGCATAACAGAAAACTAAAACAGAACCAGCCAATTAATTTTTAAATAAAAATATCAAGGCAATCCAGTGCATTATTATTTTCAACAAATGGTTCTGGAACAACTGGACAGCCAAATACAAAACAAAATCAACCTAAATCTTTATCTTTGGGAAGGATTTACACGATATACAAAATTAAATAAAAATGGATCAGGTAACCAAATATGAGCCAATATTATAAAACTTCTAGAAGAAAGCATAAGATAAATCTTTTTTAAAACTTTTATCTTAATAACCTTGAGCTTGGCAAAAATTTCTTAACCATGACCAAAAAAGCGTGAACTATAAAAGAAAACAAAAATGAACTGAATTTATTAACATTAAAAACTTTTGGTCTTCTGTTTTTTAAATGAAAAAGCAAGCCTAGAAGAAACTGTTTGCAAAATACACATCCAAAAAAGGACATATATCTGGGATATATAAGAAAACTTCCAACTCAATAACAACACAGATAACTGAATTTACAAATGGGAAAAATGTTTAAAAAGATACATCAACCAAGATGGTATACAGATGGTAAATAAACACAAGAAAAGATGCACAACAGCATTACTTACTAGGGAAGTGTAAATTAAAACCACAGTGAAATACCATTATACCCCCGTTAAATTACTAAAATTAAAAATAATAATCATACCAAATGAAGCAACTGCAGCACTTATATACTGCTGGTAAAAAGGTAACATAGCACAACCACTTTGGAAAGCAGTTTGACAATTTCTTAAATAGTTAAGTATATACTTACCATATGACCAAGCTATTCACTCCTAGGCATTTATTCAAGAGAAATGAAAATTATGTCCACACAGACTTGTAAACAAATGTTCACATCAGTTTTATTTGTAATAGCCAAAAGCTAGAAGTACAAATTTCCATCAAAATATGAATGGGCAAACAAATTCTGATAGTCCATATAATGAAATAACACTTAGCAATAAAAAGGAATGAATACAGATGCATATAACAACATAAATGAATCTCAAACTAATTACGCTGAATGGAAGGAGCCTATAGTATTATTCCATGTGTATAAAATTGTAGGAAATGCAAACTAATCTATAACAATAGAAAACAGTGACTGCCTGTGGATGGGGGAAGGATGTGGGGAAAGAGGGTGGATGACAAAGAGGCATAAGGAAACTTTTTTGGGGTGATGCATATGCTCATTATTTGTATTGTAGTGATGGTTGGAAAGGTGCAAATCTCATCAAATTGTAGACTTTAAACAAGTTCCATCTATTGTATGCCAATTCTACCTTATAAAACTGTAAAATATGTTTTGGGGACAATGGGAGAAATTTGGAAATGGGCTGGATATAAGATATCATGGAGTTAGATTGATAATGATATTTCAGGTCTGTGGGAGAATGTCCTTATTTTTAGGAGATGAATGCACAATTATTTATGGGTGTAATGTTATGTCTATAACTTACCACTGATATTTCAGGAAAAATTACATATAAATTGTTAAATCTAGATGGATGTTATATGGGTGTTTATTGTAGTATGTTTTCAATATTTCTATGTGATTAAAATATACATAATTAAGATGTTGGGGAAATCTTGTTATATTGTTTTATTGCCCGTCCTCTTCTTTGGAGATATATATGTAATCTTTATTAACCTGGAATGTAACCAAATCTTCTCTGGGAATGTCTCCAGGGAGGGAGACATTCTCGTCTTTACTATCCTGGAATGTAAATAAAACTAAGCAAGTTGCTTGTTAATGTCTAAACAAGAAGAAACATGAGATTCAAGGAGAACTGTCTCTGAAGAGAAGGCTAAAGTCAATCATACAAAACCAAAAAAAAAATAATGTGAAATGAATGTTGATTGGTAGAAAATGAATGTAGATTACAAAGACATCTTACATATGCATAATTGATGTCCCTGAAGAAGAGAAGAAATGGATCAGAAAAAATGGTAAGCAACATCAAACTTCCCTGAAATGAATGATTGGAATGGCTCACTATAACTCAGGTAAAATTAATACACAAAAATCAGGACCAAGACATATGCTTCCATAGATCCTTAACTTCAAGAATAAAAAAAGAATCATATGGCAGAAAGGCACATTATATACAAGAAAAAAGAGAGCAATTTTGTCTAAGACTTCTCAATAACATCACTTAATTTTAGAAGAGCACAATCTACCAAATGCACAGGAAAATAAAGTATAAATGTGTCAATCAGGGAAGCATAATAACTATGAGTATTATGGAATAAGGGATGCATGCACAATGTATAGGAATAGCTGGGGAAGGTTTGGAAGGGGAAGTTAGAAGACTAGAGAAATCACTAAACCAGCCCTTTTCAGACATTGGCATGGGTGGATAAATCAGAGCTTTCAGGAAAATCTGAGAAGCCAGGCACATGTAGCTGCTGACGTGGGACTGCAAAGAGAAGCTGATGGAGAAGTCCATGAGAAGCCTTTGTCAGCCTGCAGCCAAGCATCTTGTGGTAGACCTGGCGATACTGTTGGTCAGCAGGACTGGAAGCTGGAAAGAAGGGGTGGATACAGAGTGGAAGATAGGAAAAACTGGAACCTGCTGGGTACCTCTGCATCTGTCCTTCACTGTATCTAATCTCAAATACAGTAGTCTTTGAGATTAGATATAGTGACAATTTGAGCAATAGTTGCTCCTTCCCTTTGGCCTTCCAAATCTCATGTAATTTCCACTTTTAGCCAACTCTCATTTCTCAGTATAAGAAATGAGACGACAGAGTAATCAACAGGTTACCAAACGACAGAGTAATCCAGTCCATGGCCTGATACTTTTCTATGACAAAAAATGCTTTATGGTGAAGTAACACTACCTGAATTCAGAAATTCCTCTGAATTTGCTCAATTGCTTTGTTTAGTTAAATTTACTTCCAAAATAGCATTCATCAAAGCCAACAGCAACCTCTGTGTCACAAAATCAAGAACAAATTTTCCATCCTCATATGAACTGATGTGCAATTTGAACAAGTCCTCCATTAAAACACTGCTTGGAAACACTGTCTTCTATGAGCCCTCTTGCTCACCTGGTATGTTTTTACCTCTCTGGTTGCTCCTTCTCATTATCTTCTATAGATATATCTTCTTGACCCAAAGCACAAGCTTTGGTCTTAGGCCTGCTTTTCCTGTTACTACCTATATTTTCTTTAGATCGCTGGATGACACTAAGATGCCAGAAACAAGCTCTCAAATTCCACCTCAGTATCCCAAGCACAGAGAGTTGTAGGGGGACCTATGCAGGCTCCGGAAGCGAGGTGTATCTAATAACCATTAAGAAATTCTCTCCATGCATAGTTCTTAGAGCTCTACACAACATGCATTAATTTGTTAATGGGTTGAATTGTCTACCTGCAAAAACGATGTGTGGAAATCCTAATCCCCAGAACTTCAGAATATAGCTTTATTTGGAAATAGAATCTTTACAGAGGTAATGAAGTTAAAATGGGGCCATTAAGGTGAACCCCAATCCAATATAACTGGTGTCCTTATAAAAGGGGAAATTTGGAAACAGACACACAGAGGGAAGATACGAAGAAACACAGGGAGAAAACAGCCACCTGACAGGAATAATGCATCTATAAGCCACACAACAAATGACGCTCTCAAAAGCTAGGAGAGAGGCATGGAAGAGCTCCTTCCCTAGCACCTTCAGAGGGAGCATGGTCCTGCTGACACTGTGATTCGGATCTCTAGCCTCCAGAACTATGAGACAATTTCTGCTGTTTTAGGCCGCCCAATTTGTGGTACTTTGTTATAGCAGCCCTAGGAAACAAATGTGCTTCTTAGTCAAATCCATTGATAGGTACTAGTGTGATTGCACTGGTACCTACAGATGAAAACCATCAGGACCAGAGAGGTTAACTAACCTTCCCAAGGTCACGTAAGCTAGTAGAGCCAGGATTGAAACCCTGGCAGATGGGTTCCTGAGCTTATCTACCTAATTACTATGCAAACTATCTTTTAATATTTTGAACAGCATTGTTCCCAGTGACAAACAGGTTGAAAATGGGAGTGAATAAATTTTAAAAATGCAAATGGTTTAATACTACATTATTGTATATCCACCCCATGAACTATCATGCAACCATTCAAAAGAAATATTGTTGAATAATAAAGCAAGCTACAGAGGTGGTTGTATTTATGATCCCATTTTTGAAAATCAAAGAAGGAAATAATCCTTATATAACTTCTATCTGATGACAGGCATGGGAACATATGTATGTCTATATATAATTATGAGCAGAGATGAAAACATAAAAGTGTTCTCAGTAGTTGATTAGTATTGGTTATCTGTTAGGGAAGAACAGTGGAGGAAGAAATGCAACAAATAATAAATATATCAGTTAGCTTTTTCTGGGTTGGTATCATGCCACCCAAAACTTAGTGACTTAATTAATGTTTTAATCCATTATTCTGGTAATTGTTTGGGATGGCTGGGATGGATGGCAGAACCTTCCTAATCTGGGCCAGTATATTATTAAACTATTACTGTGTAACGAATTACGCTGAAATTTAGCAGCTTAAAACAACATTTATTATCTCACAGTTTCTGTGGGTCACGAATTCAAGTGTGGCTCAAAAGATGCCTCTGGCTGAAGGTCTCTCACGAGTCAAGCTATCTGGCTGTGGTCCTCATCTGAAGGCTAAACTTGGGGAGGATATGATTCTAAGTTCACTCATGTGGTTCTTTCCACAGGGCTATCTCATGATGTGGCAGGTTTCCCCTATGATGAGCCATCTGAGAAAGTAAGCAAGCACCCAAAATGGATGCCACAGTCTTTTTGTAACTAATCTTGGACATGAAATCCCATTACCTCTGCCTCATTCTTTTCACTAGAACCAAGTCACTAACTCCAGTCTAAGCTCAAGAGGAGGGCATTATATAAGAGCACAAATACCAAGAGGTGGGGATCATTCAGAGTTATGTCGGAGGCTGCCAACCAAAGTTGTGTTGACCAAGACTGGATGCCTAGGATGGCTTCATACACTAGTACCTATCATAGATTTAACTAAGAAGCATATTTGATTCCTAGGGCTGCTATAACAAACTACCACAAATTAGGCAGCCTAAAACAGCAGAAATTGTCTTATAGTTCCAGAGGCTAGAGATCTGAATCATGGTATCAGCAGGGCCATGCTCCCTCTGAAGGTGCTAGGGAGCCTCAGCTGTTAATTGGTTTATAGATGCATTATTCCTGTCAGATAGTTGTGACATGTGGTGTTGGTGTAGGGTGGTTCAACTGGGATGGCTGGTCTTTGCTCCATGTGATCTTACTGCTGCATGTGATCTCTCTCATTTTCCAACAGCACAGTTCAGGCTTTTTCACACACAGGTTCAGGATTCCAAAGAGCTGCAAAAGCAGGTAAGCCTCATTGTGCAGGCACTTCTCAAGCCTCTGCTTGTATAATATTTGTTGATGTCCCATTGGCCAACAAATGGTCAAGCCCAGTTTCAGGGGTGAAGAAATAGATCCTACCTCTTGATGGGTGAAGTGGCAAAGTCACACTGAAAAGGGGCATATATTCTGACAGTAGGAGACAGTAGAGACTGTCCAGACTTCTAGTTTCTGCCTAGGATGCAGACATCTGGAAAGAACACTGCTCCCATCTTTATAACAAGAATAAAGCTGGGTAATCTGCAAAAACATTATTTTTCTTGAGCACTTCAGAGAGCTAAGATTATAGAGCAACCAACTAGCTTGAAAGCAGGAAGGAAGAAGATGAGGCCACCATATAAGCAGTAAGAATTCAACAAGAATTTTTAATGAATTGCTAAAAGTTGAGTGTGGGAGACTCGTGAGAGCTGTAGACCTAAGGGTAGTTGGCCTCTACTTACAGGCTCTTCTCCATAGACATCCACTGAATGCTCACAAGAAACACAGGGGCAAGGAAGAAGACTGGAGAAAGCCTACCTCCATGGGGTAGGACTGCAAGGGGACTGCTGCTAATATAGAAATGGCACAAAGCCCCAGTGGGACCCTACTCCCTTACAGAACAAAATCCTTAAGCCACTAGAAGTTCAGCAACCTTGCTGCCCTCAGGACACAGGAAAGTTTCAATTTCCCTCACTGTGACTTGAGTGAGGGAAATTGAAAAAAAAAATTCCACCCATGGTAAAAGGGCAGGAGACCATTCAGGGCCCAGATCATTAAAGGCCTTCTACCAGTGGAAGAGGGTAGGATTACCGAAAAACCTCACCCTCAAGACCCAGGGATGCAGGACCTGACAAAAACTGAGGCTGGCCCAGGACAACCCCCGCCCCCAACTCACCAGGTCAGCCAGAACCAAGTAATAACAGTTTGTCTACTACAAATATAGAGGCAATAACATGGAGAGTGGCCCTCCCTGAGATGCTAGCACACAGGAAAGGCCTACAGGCCTAAAGGCAAGTGTGGTCTGGGAATAATAAAAATTCTCTGGGCAAACCAGAGCCTACCTCAAGCACAAGATAACATTAGAGGAATTTTAAGTCTATGGTACAGCAAAGGTAACACTGGCAACAAAGAAGCACAAACTCAGCCTAACTTCTGACTAGATGGATTCAATCCCCCCATGCTAATGGCCTATCAAAAGGGCAACCATGGCTATTTCCAGGAATAACTGCTATTTATCTCAGTTTCTACTACCCTACATACAACATCTGACATTCAGCCAAAAATTATTAGATGCAAAAGAGCAAGAGAAGACAACTCACCACTAAGAGACAAAGCAATCAACAGATCTAGACTGAGTTGACCTGCTAGTTGGAACTATCAGACAGGGAGTTTAAAATAACTATGATTAATATGTTAGAGGGTACTATGGGCTGAACATTTGCATCCCCCCACAAATTCATATGTTAAAATCCTAATCCTCAATGTGATGGTATTAGGAGGTAGAGCCTTCGGGAGGTAGCTAGTTAATGTGGGTGGAGACCTCATGAATGGGACTGGTGCCCTTATAAAAGGGATCCCAAAGAGCTCTCTATCTGTAGACATGGGAAAATATAAGAAGTCAGCAGTTTGCAACCTTGAAGAGGGCCGTCACCAAGACCCAACCATGCTGGATTCTGATCTCAGATTTTCAGGCTCTAGAACTGTGAGAAATAAATTTCCATTGTTTATAAGCCATCAAATCTGCGGTGCTTTGTCACAGCAGCCCAAACTAAGACAAAGGGTATAGGGGAAAACATGAACATGCATGAGAAGATGGGGAATTTCAGCAGAAATATGAAAACTATAAGAATCAAATGGAAATATTAGAAATAAAAATAAAATCTAACTGAGTTGAAGAATGCCTTCAATAGTTTCATCAGCAGACTTGACAGAGCCAGGGTAAGGGAAAAAAAATCAGTGAACTTGAAGATAGATCAACAGAAATTATTCTAACTGAAACACAGAGATATAAAGACTGAAAAAGGGCACATAGATAGGGACGAAGACATCTGTAGCATTTTTCTATCTAACACAGTATGTCTTCTGGTCACAAATTATTCACATTACCACCCATCATGCAAAATATGTTCACCCCTGTTCCAGGATGTCCAAATTTCTCATCCAAAATTGTGGCGTCACGTTCCAATCCAGGATCTCAAGTCTTCTGTATCAGGTTCAGTTGTGGCTGAGGTTCCCTGGGTACAGTTTTTCAGTTTCTTGATCCAGACACCTGTGAGCTAAATGACAAGTTATATGCCCCCAACACATACCCAATATATACAATGGTGGGATAGGTACAGGATAACTGTGTTAGACACTCCCATTCAAAAAGAGGACCAAGAGACACATATAAGTCACTGTTCCATAACAATTCTGAAATCCCAAAGAGCAAATGTCAGTTCCCCTGGCTCCAGGGGCAGATAATGTTTCTTGATTAGGGCACAGTTCTCACTGGGAATGGCTCCTCAGTCCATTTTAATATATTGTTCTTGGGTCTTCCCTCTGAGATGCCCTTCATTTCCCATAAGAAATGGACCATGCTTGCAACTGAGTAACTTTCTCAGCTTGTATCCTATTCATAGAAGTTAGGGAGGGGAATCCAGGGGCCACTTTTCATTTTGAACTGTTTGGGTCCCTGGAAGTCCAACCTGGAGGTAGTATTACTAGTAAAACTCTATTAAAAACTTTGTTTCCTATGAATCTGGTTTGGATCTACACCTTTCCCCAAATGCAACATCAGAAATTGTTTCAAAGATAGATCTTTCTCCGCTTTGAGTAGTATGTCAGGCTTCTATGGGACAATGTCATGAAGATTTTTTAGAAGCCCTTAAGTTTAGCTGAGATGGTCTCCTAAGCACCAACTTAACTATTTCACACATTGTAATACAGAGTCTTATAGACACAACCATGATTTGATCTTTACCCTGAGGCCATGTTTTACCTTGAGAATATTTTGATTGCTGGAGAGACTAGCGATGTGAAACTGTTATTTTCCAACCCAGCAATCCTTGGCTTTTCTGTATGTCTTCTGAATTCTGCTTGCCAATGGATAAGTTATTTCTTTAGTTCATTTCTCTCTTTCTGTATCTTATATGCAGCTAAAAGAAGCAATCTGATACTTCCCATATACTGCTGCAAATCTCCTTAGCCAGATCCATAAGTTCATTTGGTCCATTCTCTATCTTCCCACAGAGTATGATGACAATTGCTTTTCTATATTTTTCCCTACTAAATAACATGGGTTGCCATCTATCCAACCTTTGTTAACAGATTTCCTCACTATTTTTCCAGTTTCTACCTGCCACTCAGACCCAAAGCCAATGCCACATGTCATGTTTTGGTCCACTATGCCCCCTCCCCCAATCATATACTTTCAAATATTACTTAGCATTTTCTGTACAACAAACTACCCCTAAAACTTATGTTGATTAAAACTGTAATAATTTTATTTATCTCACAATTCTGTAAATTGGCTGGAATAACTGGTATGGCTCTTCTGAGCTAGGCTGGCTCAGCTGGTGTGGAGGTCTGGGAAAACCTCACTCCTAATTCTGACAATTGGCAGGCTACTTGGTCTAAGGGGCCTCAGCAGGGCGGCTCACCACTGCTCCATGTGGTGGTTTTTCATCCCCCAGTAGGGCAATTCGAGATTTCTCAAGTTTGCAAAGAGCAGCAAGAGAGGTTAAGCTTCAAGGCAGGCTTTGCACACTTCTCAAGCTTCTTATTGATTCTCTTTGCTAATGTTCATTGGCCAAAGGAAGTCACATGGCCAAGTTCAAAGTCAAGTAGTAGACAAAGAGATGCTACTTGGGATGGGAGGAATCTGTGGCTACTCTGCATTGTACCACAAAGAAAGAAAACATGTCATGGATACTATGTCATGGAAACCAGTATGAATGATAGGACTGTATTTGTGTGTTCATATAAAATTATATCTGCAGATGTGTGTATATATAAAACCAAAGTGACTTTTAAACTGTGGATTCACTTGATAGAAATATTCAGTAAGAAACATATTTGATAGACATATTCAGTAAGAAACATTTGATGAACATATTCTAAATTTGAAAAAAATTAATATTCCTCCTGTTATGTACTGTGTTCTGCCACAAATGCCCTATAGAACTGACAGGTCTACTCATCAGTTATATTATTTTGCTGCACTACCTTTCATTTTGTTATCACTTTAAATTGTTTAATGTAACACAGTAAACATGACCATCATTTACATAATTTGCACTCTCCTTCCTATGAAGAATTTGGTAACAATTTGACTTATAATACTTTCTATAGGAAGGCTTTTCCTACCACACCAAACTGACAACGTTTTTCCCAATGACTTCTACTATATTTCATGAGGCTGTGCAAATATAGAAATTCTCCCTCCTTCAGTGCATTCTTAAGAGTGTTTCTTCTGAATAATTTTTTTCCATCTCAAGTGAGATAACATATTCATATAGGATCTGTCTTGGATGAATTTTATAATATATAGTTAGACCTGACTTTTGTGATAAGGCTCTCATTTTCAAGAAACAGGGTTACTTTCATGTATGAATATTGCGATGCATACTGAGAACTGATTTCTGGGTGAAGCCCTTTCCACAGTCACTGCATTTATAGGGTTTATCTCCAGTATGAATTGTTTGATGTTTATTGAAATTTGACCTATCAGTGAAGGCTTTCCCACATTCTGCACATATATATGGTTTCTCCCCTGTGTGAATTCGTTGATGTACTTTGAGATGTGGTTTCTTGGAGAAGGATTTCTCACAGTCAGGACATTTATAAGGCTTCTCTGTAGTATGAATTCTCTGATGTGTAATCAACTCTGACTTCTGGATGAAGGCCCTCCCACAATCAGCACAAACATAGGGTTTCTCTCCAGTATGAATGGTCTGGTGTTTATTGAAATTTGACCTGTCAGTGAAGGCCTTACCACATTCAGCACATATATAAGACTTTTCTCCAGTATGAGACTTCTGGTGAGTATTGAGATTTGACCTGTTGGTGAAAGCCTTCCCACATTCAGTGCATATATAGGGTTTCTCGCCGGTGTGAATTCGCTTATGCATCTGGAGTTGTGACTTAGAAGGGAAAGATTTCCCACAGTCACTGCATTCATAAGGCTTCTCTCCAGTATGAATTCTTTGATGTGCAATCAAGTGTGCCTTCTGGATGAAGGCCTGCCCGCACTGAGTACAGATATAAGACCTCTCTCCTGTATGAATTCTCTGATGCATCCTGAGTGTTGATTTTTGGGTAAAGGCTTTCCCACACTCACTGCATTTGTGATGTCTCTCTCCAGTATGAATTTTCTGATGTATATTGAGGGCTGAGTTCAGGGAGAACCCTTTACCACATTCACTGCATTCAAAGAGTTTTTCTCCAGTATGAGTTGTCTGATGCCTGAGTAGAGATGATACCTGGAAAAATGATTTCCCACATTCATTGCATTTAAAGGGTTTCTCTCTAGTATGAGTTTTCTCATGCACAATTAATTCTGAATTCTGGATGAAGGCCTTCCCACATTTAGTACATATGTAGAGTTTTTCATCTCTATGAACTCTCAGATATATACTGAGTAGTGGCTTCTGTGTAAAAACATTTACACATTTGCTAAGCTCATGAGGTTTTTCCACAGTATGAATTCTCTGAGGAGCAAAGAAGTGTGACCTCTGGGTAAAGATCTTCCCAAATTCAGTACATGTGTTTGCTTTCTCTCCAATGGGAAATTTCACATTTTGACTGAGTGAATGTTTGAGGCTGAGGATTTTTCCACACTGATTACGTTCACAGAACTTCACGCCTGCATGGGTACTTTCGTGGTGATTATAGGAAGAGCTCTGGGTGAAAACCTGACCATGCCGAATAGTTTTATCCAGGTTCTTTGCTGCATTGCTTTTATTATGAATGTGTGAGTCTAAATTATGCTTAAAACTCTTCCCAAATGAATCACGTTTATGGGGTCTTTTCTGTGAAAGAATGGGATTTGGGCTTGAATGGACAAATTTTCCAATGTCTTTATATTCATAATCCCACTCTGTATTCAATATTTTCTTACTGAGGAAAGTAGTGTGACTCAGAAGTTTGTTTTGTTTTTCCTGACATCTCTTTATCTGTTCAGCATCTTGCCACAATTCTTCTAAAATAGAATACAATGAATCATCTCGTGTATCTTCACCCTCCATTTCACTATGGAATGTAGATTTTCCAGAAATTCTTTTCTGGGAAGGCTTAATTCCAAATTTCCCATCTAAAAAGAGAAAGAAAAAGAAAAATTGATACAAACAACAGACCGCAAGAGATGAAAAGTTACACGTAAGCTAATACAAACTGAACACAGTATTACTGAACAGTTTGTATTTACTGAAATCAGTAAATCTAATAAGACAATGATGACAAGAAATACATATATAGCACTTTTATGTGCCAAACTCTTACATGACACTTACAATATTCCAGGCACTGTTCTAAGAAATATATGCCATCACACGAAGCTTCACAACAAGGATACAGTCTGAGAGAGCTGTTATTAGGCAATTTTATTCTTGCACAAACATCATAGAGTGTACAGTACTTGTACAAACCCAGATGGTATAAACTACTACACATCTAGGCTACATGATATAGCCTAGATGTATAGTAGGTACAGGGTTTCTCTCCTGTGTGAATTCGCTTATGCATCTAGAGTTCTGACTTAGAAGGGAAAGATTTCCCACAGTCACTGCATTCATAAGGCATCTCTCCAGTATGAACTGTTTGATCTGCAATCAAGTGTGCCTTTTGGATGAAGCTCCTAGGTTACAAATCCATACAGTATGTGAATGTACTGAATCCTGTAGGCAACTATAATACAATAGTAAGTATCTGTGTATTTAAACATATCTAAACATAGAAAAGGGAATGCATTGCACTACAACCCAGAAATGGCCATGATGTAACTTGGTGATAGACATTTTCCAATTTCATTACAATCTTAAGACACTTGATGTCATTATGTGGTACATGACTGTACATAAGAACTCATTTAATCCTTTCAGAGGTCCTATGAGTTATCTACTATTACTATCTACCTTTTGTAGATAAGAAAAGTGAAGGTCATGACAGTTACATAATCTGCCATAAAACACGGTTATGAAGTGTTAGATCTGGTGTTCAACATAAGCAGTCTAGTTCTATTTTGGTAGGAAGCTTGGATATTAGGTAGGGTAGACAGAAGATTGACAATACAAGAGTTTTCAGGGGAAAGATCTAGGAGAGCCTTGGCTTGGAGTTTAAGTCTTCATTAGCTTTCAATTCTAAATCCTCACTAATCTTGCTTACCAGCAAAAATACAAAATATATGTGATAAAAATAATTTATTCATGTCTATGAAAATACTGTAGTCATAGCCATCCTAACCTATACAAACAGTAAATAGATGTCTATACTCCAACTCTCCATCTAGGTTTAATTGTTTTCTTGGACTTGCATTATATATATCTAACAAAAAATAACAGAGAAGACAAGTCATCTGTGGTAGAGACTGAAAGCTATCCACTAGAATCAGTTTCCCTGTTCTTTTGCATTTAACAGAGTAGCATCTGGGCATATGGATGTCCAGTCATAGAGCATTTCTCAGCCTCCTTTGAAATTGGTGTGGCCATGTGACAGTGTTCTCAAAACAAGAATGTGAGAGAAAACGATGCTGCCACTTTCAAATGGGAGCACTGAGACCATCGGCATGTTTTCTCCATATTCGCTTCTACCATCTTGCTTACTAAACCTGGAGTTGGCAGAAACACAGATTCAAGCACGCAGATGCCACAAAAAACCTGAGATGGTGGAGTAAGGTGTGTTGGATGGAGCTTGGATTCCTGAACAATCATGAGCAATGAGGTTTCCCATAAGAGGGAAATACAATTATTTACTATTTTAGTCACTGTATTTGTCAATCTATTGCTAGAAATTAGCGTTAGCATAATTCACACATTATTATTGCCCAGAGTGGGAATTATGGATGTTTCTATTCCTAGTACAGTGCATGAGATGTATTAGATTATTGGTAAATAATTTTAACCTGAGAAAATTATACCACTGACTTTTTCAGTAAGAGATTTTAGATATTGAGAATGCTCTGAGTCATCAAATTCACTTGTCCCCTTTTAGTTGGTTTGATACTGTACTTCAGCCACATATTCCATCCCAAATCTCATTCTCCTATTCTTAGGTTGCATTTTCATTCTCACACATCTGGCTTTAATTTATTCTGGACATATATTAAGGACTGGATCCCTAGGCATGGTTTGAGAAGTGGTTCTGCTTTTCACTTTATTTAAATTATAAATCCCTTGCTGTACCAGACAATTATTTATTACATCACTAGTACCAACGTTCATTGTAAAAAATTTGCTCCTGCAATAAAAAGCTTCTTTACACCTCTCCTGAACCCCATATTCTATGACCAGTACATAAATGAAGAGTCATCAGTCTAGAAAAAAGAGCTGCTCACGCAAGGTTACATTCTACTTGTCACGCATAAAGATGCCTCAAAAAAGAGTCCAGTTTATTTTCAAATCAAAGGACATGTCCTCTTTCCCCATTAAGTCTGCTTAGCATTTTCTTTTATGCCATTAAAAAAGGTATATGTGCTTCAGAAAGCAGTTTAAGAAATTTTTACTTGGAAAATTAATCTACTTATATTGCTAGTAAGATGTTTTTCTTCTGAATGTCAAAAGCAGGCACTCTTTATGCTATTCATTTTGCTAACCACTGTAATAGACTTCTAATTATAACAGAAACAATGCAGAAGAGGGTAAACTTTTAAATATTTGGTGCCATTGTGTTTACTTTCCAATAACAATCTGTTGAATTCCACTCAGTAGAATTTTTAAATGCTTCTAAAACACAGCAAAATTCTATTCTTATCTGCCACAAATTCAATTAGTTAATATCAGTAAGTATTTTCTTCATGCTTAGCATTTGAATAATGAAAATAAGACACAAGGTCTCATTTCGAAATTTAATGGTGGCAAAAGCATCTGGGACATGGGGAAACAGAAATGGGGAAGAGTTATAAATAATGGAGTAATAGGCTGGGTGCAGTGGCTCAGGCCTGTAATCCCAGCACTTTGGGAGTCCAAGGCGGGCAGATCATGAGGTCAGGAGATTGAGATCATCCTGGCCAACATGGTGAAACACTGTCTCTACTAAAAATACAAAAATTAGCTGGGTGTAGTGGTGCATGCCTGTAATCCCTGCTACTAGGGAGGCTGAGGCACGAGAATTGCTTGGACCCAGGAAGCGGAGGTTGCAGTGAGCCGAGATTGTGCCACTACACTCCAGCCTAGAGACAAAGCAAGACTCTGTCTTTGAAAAAAATGGAGTCATAAATCTGAAGTAAGTAAGGACCATTTCATGGAATAGATGGAAGCCTGAACACAAAAGGAAAATGTATATTACCTGGACAGGCAGAGCACAAAATAATAAAAAGCCGAGATACACAGACATGTTTCATTTATGGCAGGCATTAAAAACAAGGCAAACAATTTGAAGTAGGCATAGATAAAGGAAACTGTACAGATAAAATTTTAAACTGGAAACATTGGTAACCTTACAGATGGCACTGAGGGGAAAGTTATTGGTGATGTGTTATATAACATGGAAAAACATTAAGTTCAATTTACTATCAAATGAGATAGGAAGTGTTCTCTCTTTCTTTCCTCCAAAAGAACATGAGTAATATTGCTATTATTTCTTCTCTAGATGACCGAGAGCACCAGTGAAGCCATGTGGGTTGGGAGCTTTGTTTGTGGATAGGTTTTAAATTATAAGTTCAATTTCTTTAATAGATAAAAATACTACTAAGATTTTGATCTTTTTTCTTGTGACATTTCTTATAATTTCTGTTTTTCTATGACTGTCCATTTCATTTCGGTTATCAAATTTTGGGGGGTAAAGTTGGTTATAATATCTTCTTAATATCTTTTTAAGGCTTGTAAGATTTGCAATGATTTTTTCCTCATTCATGGCATTGATAATCTGTGTTTTCTCTTTCTTCTCCCTGACTGATCTTGCTAAATTTATCAACTGTATTAATCTTTCAAAGAAGCAAATTTTGGCTTTGTTATTTTTCACTATTGTATGTCCTGACGTGCACACTTAGATAGCCAATTTTTAATCTTTTTAATTTTCTGGTAGAGAGATATATATATAAAATAAGAAACTTTCATCATAGTGCTTCAGTTTCATCTCACAAGTTCTTTTTTTTGAGTTGGAATCTCACTCTGTTGCCCAGGCTGGAGTGCAGTGGTGCCATCTTGGCTCACTGCAACCTCTGCTTCCCGGATTCAAGTGATTCCCCTGCCTCAGCCTTCCGAATAGCTAGGATTACAGGTACCTGCCACCACGCCCATCTAATTTTTGTATTTTTAGTAGAGATGGAGTTCCCCATGTTGGCCAGGCTGGTCTTGAACTCCTGACCTCAGGTGATCTGCCCACCTCAGCCTCCCCAAAGTGCTACGATTACAGGCATGAGCCACTGCACCCGGCTCCACAAGTTCTGATGTGTCCTATTTTCACTATCATTTCACTCAATATATTTTCATTGTGATATCTTTTTTGACTTACAGGATATTTGGATGTGTGTTGCAAGCTTAGTTTGACATCTAAAAATCAATAAAATTCACCATATCAGTAGAACAAAATGCATATTTCAATAAATACATAAAGAGCATTTGGCATTTAGAAAATTCAACATCAATTCATGTTTAAGACTCTCATCAAACTAGGAATAGAAAGAAATTGCCACAAATTAATAAAGGGCATCTAAGAAGAATCACAGCTAATATACCTAATGGTGAAAGATGGGAAGTTTTTGCCTTCAGATTGGGAGCAAGATAAAATAAAAATAAAGAGGATATAGACTAAAAAGGAAATGACAGAAAGGTATGATAATGTATGCAGATAGTTTTACAGTATTTATTCACAAAAAGACCTGCTAGAATTAACAAGCAAAATTTAGCAAAGTCTCGGAATACAAGGTCAATGTACAAGGATCAATGGTAAGAGTAGTTCACTTCCAGTATGGAGAAGTAAGCTTCTAAAAATGACTCTTCTACCGATAGTAAATATAATCTCTGGAAAAACAAACAAAACAAAACTAAACAAAAAGAAAATCAAACAAAAGCAGGCATTGTTTGGAGGTGAGTCAAAAGTTAGAGGAAGTGACTAGCATGTAGTGAGTTCCCTCTTTTCCTGGGTTTCTGTTGAGAGTAGCTGCACTCTTAGCAGCAATGTGGAGCAGCTAAAATTCCCATTAAAGCTTGTCATCCTTTTGTGAGAGGAATTAGGGGAAGAAGGCCTGGATACCCAGGGCCACTGGAGGTTAAAGGGTCAACGCAAAAAGAAAGAATAAAAAAAAAAGCAAATTCCTAATTCTCTGTATAAAATCTGCTAAGTCTCTGGCTGACCCCTCAACCTTGCATGGCTAGAGAAAACTGAAAGCAGGGCTGAACTGCGACCTGAGTTGCCACTTGCCTTAGGTGACACAGCATTTCCATTGTCAGTCTAACCTAGTTAATTGCCTGCTGTGATAAGAACACTGACATTCTTCAGAACAATATAACAGAATACCATTTTACCATAACACTCTTCAGTAGTTAGTTTTAAAAATATGTTTTCCAGGGTTAACAATTTTTTTTATCTGTCTGGCAGATTATTTCAATATAAACAATTCTATAAGACTAGAACTTGAATTAATTTTTGTATAGGGATGTGAGGTATGGGGTCAAAGTATGATTTTTCCCCCTAATAACGACATCCATTTGTTTCAGCACAATTTGAAAAGATTTCTCCCTTCAAATTATATTGGCACTTTTGTCAAAAATCAGTTGTCTGTATATTAATGGGCCTATTTTTAGTCTCTCCTTTCTGTTCCATTTATACATTAGTCTGTCTTTATACCAATACTATACTGTCCAGGTTGCTATAGCTTTATAGTAAATCTTAACATTTGGTAGTGTCAATCCTCCATAGTTTTTCTTTTTCCTCAAGACTGTGTTTTCCATTCTAGGTCTTTTGCATATCCATATAAATTTTAAAATCTCTTTGTCATTTTTAACCCACCCAAATTACAAATAATTGAATGAACAAGTAGAAGACAAATCGGTAACACATTATTAAAAGACCTTAACAACATGGAACCAGCTTGAGTTATAGATTATAGAACACTGCACCCATCAACAGCTGAATATACATTCTTTGCAGGGACACACAAAACATTCCCCTAGATAGATCATATGCTGAAATCATAAAGGGTATGCTCTCAGACCACAACAGGATTAAATTGGACAACATAGAGGAAACAGACAAAATACCTTGAAAAGTACAACTTACTATATCTGGCAAAACATGAAACAAAAAGTCTGAATAGCCCTATGTCTATTTAAAAAATTGGGCTTGTCATTAAATCCTTCCTGTCAAGAAAACTCCAGGTCCAAGTGGCTTTCTTGGTTAATTCCATGAAACATTAAAAGAAATAACAATCTCATACAAAGTATTTCAGAAAATAGAGAAGGTAACACTTCAAAACTCATTTTAGTAGCCAGTATAACCGTAATATCAAAACATGACAAAGACACTGAAAGAAATGAAATCCATAAACCAAATCACTCGTGAAAAATGCAAACTTTTAAGCCAAATATCAGTAAGTAGAATCCAAAAATATATAATAAAGCTAATGCATCGTAATCAACTAGTATTTATCTCAGAAATGCAACGTTAATTCAACACTTAAAAATTAATGAATTCACCATAGTAACAGAACAAAAATGCTCATATAATATCACTCTAATACATGCAGAAAAAGCATCTGACAAAATTCAACACTCAATCATGATAAAAAAAAAACCCTCTGAAACAAGCTAGGATAAGAAAGGGACTTACACAACCTGTTAAAGGGTAGGTACAGAAAACCTACAGCTAGTATCTAACTTAATGGTGAAAGACTAAATTTTTTACCCACAATATCAGAACCAAGGCAAACATGCCCGCACTCACCCCTTCCATTCAACATTGAACTGAAAGATATTAAAATAAGGAAAATAAATTAAAAGTATGAATTTGGAAAGGAAAATGTAAAAGTGTCCCTATTTTTAGGAGATAATGATTACTCATATGAAAAACCCTGAGGAACTTACAAGAAAACTAATAGGTAGATTTAACAGTGCCTCAGGATACAGTTAATGCACAAAAATCAATCACTAGCGACTTATACTAGCAATAAACAATCTAAAAATAAAATTAAAAAAACTTTATATTAGCAATGAAAATAAAAAACTAAAACTAAAACAATGCCATGTAAAACAGGATCAAAAATATCAAGTACTTAGGGATAAACTTAAGGAAGGATTCCTATGATCTCTATGTTGAAAACAATACAATTCTGCTAAATGGAATTAAAGATCTAAATAATTTCAGAAATATACCACGTTCATGGGTTAGAAGGCTCAATATTGTTAAGATGTCAGTTTTCCTAAAATTGATCTACAGAGTCAACTGAACTCCAAACAAAATCCTAATAGGCTTTTTTGTAAAAATTACAAACTGACTATAAAATGTATATAAAAATGCAAATGACCTAGAAGAGCAAAGTAATTTTTAAAAAGCAAAGTTGAAGGACTTATACTATCTGATTGAAGATTTACTGTAAAAACTATGGTGATAAAGATAGTACGGGTTCGCTAAAAGGATAATCTATTAACTATATTTTCTTATTTTCTGTATCCTTGATATTCTGGCATCTGGGGCTTAACTGATCCTGGAGAGACTGCCCCTCCCAAGGATAGCTAATTCTACAGATTAGGAAATAACTTGACCTTGAAGATGCATTTCATATGCAAACCAGCCAACACATAGCCCAAACCCACAACTACATCTTTTATTGAGCTCTCACAGGTTGAGCCACTATCCCCCTGCTCTAATCACCCCAGGGACAGGTACCAAGCAACTAGGGACAGTCCCTATACCCTAGAGCCCAATGGAATTATTCAAACTAGCCAATTTTAAATCTGCCTAGCGTGTTGACCCTGCCTAGTTTATTCCTTCCCACAAAACCTAAATAAAGGTTCTGGCCCATGCTTTCCCCTAACTCCTTCTAGGTTCCAACTGACATTGGTGCTTCCAAACATGTGTGGTATGTGTGGCCCTGCATGGTGTGGTATGCCCTTGCCTCTTGGGAACTGTAAAAAACTATCTTTCCAATGGCAGTTATCTGCTGATCTGTTGGCTTCGTCATATCTAAATAATAATAAAATCTATACTTTAAAGCAGACAGACAAATAGACTAATTGAACAGAAAAGAGAGACCTGATTACAGGCTCATACACATAAAGTCAACTGATTTTGATAAACATACCAAGGGAATTCAACAGGAAAAAGAAAGCCTTTTCAACAAATGTTTCTGGAACAATTAGACATCAGTATTGAAAAATGAATTACAGACCTAACTGAAAAAGTTAAAATGATAAAACTTATAGAAGAAAGCATGAGAAAATCTTTGTGCCTTGTGATAGGCAAAGGTTTCTTAAACGGATCACAAAAGGTACTAACAGTAAAACAGATGATAAATTGGACTTCATTGAAATTAAAATGTTTGCTCTTTGATGGGCACCAACAAGAAAATGAAATTTCAAGCCACAGATTGGAACAAAATATTAGCAATACGTATTTCTGGCAAGGGAGTTGTATCCAGTAAATATTATTAAAACTCACTAATAAGAAGACAACCCAATAAAAATGAGAAAGATATCTGAGTAGATATTTCACACCAAAAATGTACAAATGGTCAATAAGCACATAAAAAGATGCTTAAGATCATCATTATTCTCCTAAGAGAAATGCAACTTGAAATCATAACATCCATTACAATAGCAAAAATAAAAGTGTTTGATGTTAAGTGTTGACAAGGATGTGGAGCAACAGGAATCCTTATGTATTGCTACTGGGAATGTAAAATGGTACAGCCAATTTGGAAGACAGTTTGGCAATTTCTTATAAAGGTAAGTATACATTGATTACATGACCTGGCAGTTCTAATCTTAGGCATTTACCCAAGAAAAAGGTAAACATATGTTCGCACAAAGACATATCAGAATGTTCATTGCAACTTCATTCACAATAACCAAATATTAACCACCTATCCATCAATAGGTGTAGAGATTAACAAATAGTAATATATTCATTCCATGAAATACTATTCCTCATTCAAAAGGAATAAACCAGAGATATACTTAATAACATGGATGAATTGCAAAATGATTATGGTGAGCAAATGAAGCCAGATCCAAAAGAGTATATAAGGTTTTATTCCATTTATATAAAACCCTAATAAAGACAAATCTAATCCAGAGTGACAAAAAGCATGTCAGTGGTTGCCTGGGGCTGTGTGTACTGACTACAAGGGGCATGAGGAAGCATTCTGTGTGAAGGAATGTTATATATCACGATAGGGGTGGTGGTTATACCGGCGTATACCCTTATCAAAACTTATCAAACTGCCCACTTAAAATACACTTCATTCTGTACACATTTTATGAAAATCCATTAATTAAATGGATTTTAAAAGAAGAAATGCTAAGCGACAGTGACCATAAAGTCAGATTACGGGAGAGAGGCACAAGGCCATGGGAAGGTGGAGAGGAGTGAGGAATCTGAAGGTGATACTCACAAAGGCAATGGGAGGTGAGGCTGGCTGTAGAAGAGAGTTTGTTGGTACCTTAGAGTGAGAAGATGAGAACGAAAGAAAGAATAAAGTACAAGAGTGCTAGGAAGAACAGAAGCGAGGCAACCAACTGATTTTCAAAAAGTCAAATCCAGTAAAACTGAAATGTATGTGATAAGAATCTAAGACTCTGGGATGTGGTTTAAGGAATTATGCATAAAAATTGGATGGAAGGAAAGAATATCCAAGGAAGCAAGATCTCTAGTGAGGAAGCCTGGCATATGATCCAGAGTATAGGAATTGAGGCAATTCTCCTGGAAGAAAGCCAACCAAAGAAGACAGGTGGTAACAGTAAGAGATATAAAGGGAGAGAACAATTTGGCACCCGAGAGGCCAATGCTACCTATCCTCAAGCAATTTCTAAAGTTGCCGACCTTTAAGCAATAACAGCATTTTAAAGGTATCAGTCTTTCTTAGGAAAAAAAAATTACTTCATGTCCCCATCTGCCTGAGTCACATCCACTCACCTGAACAGCTGTGATGTGGAGTTTCCCCTTCCCATGTCCACGGCCCCTCTCCTTGCTCCAACTTGAAGATGACCTCTGGTTTGGGGACTTCGAACCCTGTTAACAGGACATGATAGAGAATTGGGTCCAGCAAATTGCTTTCCATTTGTTCTTTGGAGAAGTAACCACATTTCTTTAGGAACTGAGTAATAATCACAGCAGTGAAAAGGCACTGAAGAATCTCAGACAAATTAAGGGAGACACCTTCACACAGTTCAGATGTCCCAAATAGCTCAGTGGTGGTGATGAGAAACACCCTCAACGAGGCTCTGTATTGGTGTCCTAAGGCTGCCATGACACAGTACCAAAACCTAGTGGCTTACAACAACAGAAATGTATTGTCTCCTATGTCTAGAGGTTAGAAATCAAGGTGCCAGCAGGGTCATGCTCTCCCTGATGGATCTAGGAGAGAACTCTTTCTAGCATCTTCTAGCCTCTAGTGTTTTCTGGCACTCTTTGGCATTCCTTGGCTTTTGAATACATCACTCTAGTGACATGGCTGTCTTCTACCTGGGTCTCTTCTCACTGTCTTCCCTCTATGTATGCTTGTAGCAGGTAATAACCCAATTTCTGCCTTCATCTTCATATGGTGTTCTCCCTGTGCACATGTCTGTGTTCAACTTTCCCCTTTTTATAAGGACATCAGTTAGATTAGATTGGGGCCCACCCTAATGACCTCACTTTAACTTGATTACCTCTGTAAAGACTCTATTTCCATTCTGAAGTATTTAGGGGTAGGAGTTCCACATAGCTTTTGGGGAAGACAAAATTGTACCCATAAATGTCTGCCCTCTAGTCCCCCAAAATTCATGTCCTTCTCACATACAAAATACATTCACCCCATCCCAGCATCCTCCAAAGCCTTAATCATTCCAACATCAACTCTTAAGTCAAAAATCACATCTCAACATCATCAACTAAAAGTCTTACATCTCATCATCTAATTCATCTAAATCAGTTATGGATGATACAGGGTATAATTCATCCTGGGGAAAAATTCCTCTCTATCTGTGAACCTATGAAACCAGACCACAAGTTATCTGCTTCCAAAATACAATGGTGGGGCAGGCATAGGTTAGATATTCCCATTCCAAAAGGGAGAAACCAGAATGAAAAAAGAGATCATGGGTCCCAAGTCTGAAGCCTAGCAGAGAAAATTTGATTAGATTCTAAGCCTTGTGAATAATCTCATGGGCTCCATGATCTGTCCTCTGAGCCCACTGGGTGGTAGGCAGCCCTGGGCCAAGAATGACACCCCTCACTATTACCCCTAATGGTCCACTAGCAAAATGTTTGCTACTTGTCTCTGACCTTATGCTCTGCTGTTCTAGAGGTCTTAATTCCAAAGGGAGAAATGCTTCCACCAGGAGACACACAATGGTTCCACTGAACTAGAAGTTCAAACTCCCACCCAACCACTTTGGGTCCCTCATGCCCCTGAATCAACTGGCAAACAGCTATGGTTTTGGCTGGAGCTATGGTTTTGGCTGGAGATCATGATTACCAAGGGCAAATCTTTGCATTGCCCAATTTTAGTAAGATTCCTGTAAATCAGTTTAGCTAGAATCCCCTAACCTCAATATCCGATCACCCTCGATATCTGATCAAATTCTTATCCTCTACTATCCCCCAATTAATATTTGATTACCCTTGCCTGCCTTCAGCAAGAATCTTGTTAGGTCAGTTTAGTAACAATCCCCCTTTTCCCCTGATGTTTCCTCTTAGTCATTTTCTATCTACTGGCCCCACTGTGCTACTGGGTTATATTTATAAATCCCTACTTGTCCATGCTGTATTTGCAACTGAGCCCAGTTCTATATCAAGATAGCTTTTCCCCTACTGTAATAGTTCTGAATAAAATCTATTTTCACTGCTTTAACTACTGGCCATATCTGGTTTTCTTTGACAGTTTTGGTGTCACAACTCAGATAAGATCCACAACTCGGATAAGATCCACAACTCAGATAAGATCCACAACTTGGGGAAGATCAGATTGCTCACTGGACCCCAGACTTCTCACCTCTCAAGTATGCACCTTTGAACTTTGTCTTCACTCCTGACTGATTGGGGACCCATTGATGAGTCTGACTCCTGAGCTAGTCCTCTGGGTGACAGGCCACTGAAGCAAAGTAAGGACAGATTTTGATTGTTTTTCTTTTTCTTGAGACAGAGTCTCACTCTGTTGCCCAGGCTGGAGTGCAGTGGTACCATCTCGGCTCACTGCAACTTTCGCCTCCTGGGTTCAAGTGATTCTCATGCTAGAAGGTAGGTTAGAGTTCCAGGTAAGCAGCTGTTTATAAGAAGCTAAGTTAGAGTCCCATGCAAGGAAAGACTGGGTTAGTTTTCTAGGCTTCTCTCTTTGTAAGAGGCTGGGTTCTGTAAGGAACAGAAGCTGGGTCACAGTCCCAAGTTTCTCTATTTATAAGCATAAAAGTACTATTAGTCAAAAAACATGGGAGCTTCTCAGTCTACCAAAACACTCCTTTTTGAACCCCTGCTGGCTATATGCTCCACCAACTCTACCCGTTTCCTGTCGTGTTGGCATGATATTACTAAGGATAATTTGGAACGTCAAGGGCTTCCTTGGGAAACTTTACCTCTCCCCAAACAGTCTCCTCCAAGACCTCTCCCTTCCCATTGTTTCTGCTCCTCCTTCTTCCTTTTGCCACCTTTGATCTTCCCTTTAGGCTCTCTTGATATAAGCAGCCCTTCAATCAATTCCCAGGCTTGAGCCTTTTTGCAGACTCAGACCCAGAACCCCGTGAATGAAGGGAAAACCAGGTTTCCTTAGGGAAAGACCCTGGTACACTGCCAAAAACTTATACTCTTAAATCTTTCTCCTAATGTTCCCCAAAGGGACCTGTGGCCTTTTATCAAGATAACTATGTACTGGGAAAAAGGAATAATTAGACATTTTGGGAATTACTGGACACTGGCTCTGAACTGCCACTAATTCCAGGAGACCACAAACACCACTATGGTCCACCAGTAGTAGGAGCTTACGGAAGTGTAGTGGTTAATGGAGTTTTAGTTGAGGTCCATCTCACAGTGCATCCAGTGGGTCCCCGAACCTATCCTGTGGCTATTTCCCCAATTTCTGAATACATAATTGGAAGGAACACATTCAGCAACTGGCAGAATCCCCACATTCATTCTCTGACCTGTGGAATGAGGGCTACTACGGTGGGGAAGGCCAAGTGGAAGTCACTGGAGCTGCCTCTACCTAGGAAAATAGTAAACCAAAAGCAATACTGCATTCCTGGAGGGACTGTGGAAATCAGTGCTACCATCAGGGATATGAGGGATGCAGGGATGGTGATTCCCACTACATCCTCCTTCACCTTGCCTATTTGACCTGTGCAGAAAACAGATGAATTTTGAAGAATGACAGTAGATTACTGTAAACATCACCAAGTGGTGACTCTAATTACACTTGCTCTTCAAGATGTGGTTTCATTGCTTGAGCAAATTAACACATTCATCCCTGGTACCCAGTATGCAGCTATTGATCTAACAAATGGTGTGTGTGTGTGTGTGTGTGTGTGAGAGAGAGAGAGAGAGAGAGAGAGAGAGAGAGAGAGAGAGAGAGAGATACTTGTTAGTAAAGACTGCTGGAAGCAGTTTGTTTGCAGCTGGCAAAGCCAGCTATACACCCGGACTTTCCTACCTCAGGGGTATATCAACTCTCCAGACTTACGTAATCATTTAGTCTGCAGGCATCTTGATCACCTTTCCCTTCCACAAGATATCACACTGGTTCATGACATTAATGAGATAATGCTGATTGGACCTATTGAGCAAGAATCAGCAACTACACTAGACTTATGGGTAAGATATTTACATATCAGAGAGTGGGAAATAAATCTGAAAAAAATTTAAGGGCCTTACACCTCAGGGAAATTTCTAGAGGTCCAGTGGTATAGAGCATGTCCAGACATCCCTTCTAAGGCAAAGCACAAGTTATTGTACCTGGCCCCTCCTATAAGTGAAAAAAAAAAAAAAAAAAAAAAAAAAGGCACAATGCCTACTGGGCCTCTTTGGATTTCGGAGGTAACACATTCCTCATGTGGGTAATGCTACTCTAGCTCATTTACCAAGTTATCCAAAAAGTAGCTAGTTTTCAGTGGGGCCCAGAACAAGAGAAGACTCTACAACAGATCCAGGCTGCTGTGCAAGCTGCTCTGCCACCTGGGTCACATGATCCAGCAGATCCAATGGTGCTTGAAGTGACAGTGCAGATAGGTATGCTGTTTGGAGCCTCTGACAATCTTGGAGCCTCTGACAATCCCCTATAGGTGAATTGCAGTGCAGATCTTTAGGATTTGGAAGCAAAGTCCTGCCATACTCTAGTAGTAGATAACTACTCTCCTTTTGAGAAATACTTTTTGGCTTGCTATTGGACCAGAATTTATTCACCCACTGAATTTAAGCATATAAGTTAGTGGAGAAGAAACTGAACAAGGATTCCCTCAGTAACAGCAAGTGAATATGGAAGAGCCCAGTGCTGAACCTCTGACCCACAGTGGGGGTGGTGGAAATGTGGCATAGAGAAGGCCCACTCCCCACTGTTGCTCATAGCACCCAAGTCCTTCTGATTGCAGCCTAGCCTGTTGATGGTATGAGGCCAGCAGCAGGCTCTGGTGCACTGGGCCTGGGTGTTATTGGGATCATGTTGCTTGAGAATGTAGCCCAAAGTGGTAGCAAACTCCATCTAAGGCTAAATACCTGCACAAAATTGATAGTCAACAAGAACCATAAGGGAAAGTTAAAAAGAGCTTTGAAGAGAAAGTTCAAGAGCATGTGAAACTGTTAAAAAGTGTGATATGATTTGGATCTGTGTCCCCTATAAATCTCATGTCAAATTGTAATCCCCAATGTTGGAGATGGGGCCTGGTGGGAAGTGACTGGATCATGGGGGTGGATTTCTCATGAATGGTTTAGCACCATCCCCTTGGTGCTGTTCTCATGATAGTGAGTGAGTTCTCATAAGATCTGGTTGTTCAAAAGTGTGCAGCTTTTCTCCCTGCTCGCTCTTGCTCTTGCTCCCACCATGTAAT